AAGAGCGTTGAGATTGCTAAACTAATGGAGTTTCTTTATATATATATATATATATATATACCAGATAGAGTTTCAGATGCATATTGGCATTTGAGAAAATTTGCGAGAACAGAAAATGTTGAGAAAAACAGTACAAAGGTTGCCAGATTGGAGGTTAAAAATAAGGTAAATGGTGCTAAGCATAGTGCATCTGCTTCTTCGGTTGAGACAAAAGAGGACAGCTCAGCTTCTAGCAAAGGAGATCTATTTGAAGTAGTTTCTTTCCGACAAGAAAATTTTGTTCAGAGTCAGCGTCCATCAGAGAAGCAATATGATACAATTCTTTGGTAAGTTCCTCGTTTATTTATTTCGTGTCCTGTGAACATGTATTTATGAAGGCATGATTAAGAAAAACAGTCAAGAGAATGAGATCATTTTAATTTCACTGCTGGCCAACTTTATCTTGCACGTATCTTGACCATAGAGTTGAATAAATTACTGGGTTGTTATTGCCTCACTTATTGGGTATTTCATTTTATATAGCATTGTCCTAATTCTTTTGTTCATTTTTCAAAACATAAGGTTAAATCTTTATGTTCCATTAAATGAACTGGACTAGATGGAATAAATTCCTGTCAAATATTCTTTTGCCTTGTCCTAGATACTTAAGTCTTCTCAATCAGGCAGCACTAGCAAATCTTCTCTGTTTTATCTGTAATCTTTAGAAAAGTGGGTTCCTGTCACAGCTAGTCCAAATTAATATCCTTTCATGCAATTGTATGTGACGGATTCTGTAGTGACCATACTTGAACATTATTGTTTTTGTTAGGCCTAAACTAACATGCTAGGAGGTGCATTCACCCTCTTTAGTTAAATCTAGAGTAACATGGAAAGAAGTGTCTTAACTCCCCTTATTTTTTGTTTTACTACTTATTTTTCTAGATGCTGTATCTTGAAATTTGTTTCTTCAAAGAAGGCTTTGCTGATAGAAGACAAAATAATCAGAGGGCTTGACTTGCAGAACTATCCTCTCCATCTTTTTTTACCCTTTCTCATTGTGCATGCATGCTGAATGACCTCTTGGCATTTTGTAGATCCTCATTGCTGTACTTTATTGTGATATTGATTCTTTTTTAAGTTTTTATATGCATTATTTACATTATTGAGGGATATGGCCTTATGTGATTTATGGTGTGTTTGCAGTTTGAGTGTGACAAAATGGATTCATCTGAACTGGGGGGATGATGGATTGATTACTTTATTTTCAAAAATATGGAGGCTTCTACATCCGGTAAATGTGATATGCATTTATCTTATGCTAAATATTTTTCTTGTCATTACAAAGTTGTTCATGAAATTTGGTTATGGTTGTTTCATTAGCACACAACACACTATTTCTGATGTGTACATTGAAGGTTAGTGTCTTACCTTTGGCAGGGTGGCATTCTAGTGCTAGAACCTCAACCTTGGCAGTCATATGAGAAGAATCGTCGTGTCTCTGAGGTATTAATCGGTTTTCACCTGGCAGATTGTAGGAACTGGGTATCTTTTTCTTTTACTGAAACAACAGAATAAAAACCTTTTAGGATTGTTAGATAAACATACTGGATTTTCAATGTTGTTAAAACTCAAGATTTTTATTATTGAATTACGAACTTTTCAATGTGGTTAAGGCATTTTTCCACTTGTGCAGACAACAGCAATGAATTATCGAACTATCTTGTTTCGTCCGGAAAGTTTTAGGGAGATTCTTCTGGATAAGGTATGTTTCATGATTTGCCCTAATAACAAGGTTGATTGAACAGAGAAATGGACATTTATGGGTCTCTTCTTTATCAGTATCTGCCTCTGTTTAAGTTTTTCATGTACATGACATTCTGAATATTTGCAGATTGGATTTAGACGGGTAGAGGACATTACTGATGGCTTGTCAGGCAGCAAAGCTGGATTTGATAGACCCATTTTTGTCTACCATAAATGACTAAGTAAAGGAAGATAAACTAGCACGCATGAGTCGCCTAATTTTATGCAATGGTCTTGGTTCTTGACGGATCCAGTGTGTGGAATTTTTGCAAGTGGGGTCAGTTGATGATCTGTAACCAACAAACCTAGTCATCAGTGCATAGGTTCAAAATCATGAATCAAGTATGCGCATGTGGCTCAGCTCGGCAATGCAGCATTCCATGTGTGCAAGAGGCAGCAGGAGTAGTGTGGGGGCTTTGTGACCTGTGGGAAGCTTCCAATCCAAATGTTTACATGGTGTTTCACATTTATCTTACCTCATCTTTTCAGGGTGGGTAAGCATGAAAATTCATTATAGATGAAGGGAATTTGTCCTCCAATTTTGTATCTGCTCCGCTAGCATATATGCTGCAAATGTTACTAATGCTTCGTTATCTAGCTCTATTTCTACTTTCAAAATCTCCTTCGCATTTAGATTTTGTGAAACACAGTTTGAATTGTCTGGGCGTGTGCTAAACTGAGAGCCCAGCGAGCCTCCAATTCGTCCAACGCCCAATTGATCATCACTAGTACTTACCCGTGTTTTTGTCGCTGGTTGGTTGCATTTTCTTAACAAAAAATTTTGTACGCAAGCTTTTTTCCACATGTTTTTATAGTTTAAAAATTTGTTAGGGAAAATTAAAAATTTTACACATATAATCAGATAAATTGAGAAGTTTGTATTAATAAATAAAAATAAATGATAATTAAAAAATAAAATTAAAAAAATTAAGAGATAAAAGAAGATTAAGATATTTAATTTTGTAAGAAAAAATATTTATTTAGCTATATTTATTAAAATAAATTTTCATTCAATCAAATGATAATAGAAATAGAAAGATATATTAAATTAATTAAGTAAAATAGAAAAATAAATATTATGCTAGATGTACATATTAGAACTATCATTGAGAATAAAAAAAATAAAATTAAAAAATAAAATTCATTTATGAAAAAAATTATAAATAAATTAAAAAACCTCTTAAAATATTAATATTGAAAGATAAAATTAAAAAAAAAAAAGAACTTAAACTTACAAAAAAGGAACAAAAATGAACTTCATAAATTTCCTGAACCTAGGTTAAACTCCAAAATCCATACCTCGTTGAATTGTAGATACAAACTCATTTTAAAAAAGTTAATATAATATTAAAAAATAAAATAAAATAAAATAAATATATTTAAAAAATCCATCAAAGTATAAATTAGCAATGATGAAAAATAAGAGAAATGAAATAGTAAAAAAAATCAATTTTAAAAATAATATTAAATAAAATAAGTAGTAATTAAAATAATAAAGATTAAATTGTAGTTTTATGTGCTCTATAATTAGTAAATATGAAAAATGTACTGTTGATTTGTTTCTGTATCATATTCAATCCATGTTAATTTCTTTTTTAATCTGATAAAATCAAATTATACTTTGTAAAATTGAAAATTAATTTCATGTGGGCACATTTTTTCACTTTGCAAACACAGCACAATACTCTAATTGGAACAAGTTATAAGGTTTAAAAATAAATAAGCATAACATGAAAGGACAAAATAAATAAAAGATTCATTGACCAAAACAAATAATTGCTAAAGGATCAAAAGAGAAAAAAAATAAGGATCAATCCAGCCACTGTAGCAATTCGGATCACGAGGAACAATGAAAGAAAGAGTAAATGACTCATATGAACATAACACAAAAGTATGAAAACGGGAAAAAAGAAGAAGTTCAAGATCCTGAACTAACAACTGATCAAGGACTGAAAAGGATCATCCATGCGCACTAGAGCAGGCAGTCCATAGAGCGTATGAACAATGAAAGGATTAATAAAAACCCTTTAGTTTACTTTGGCAATGGTTAACTGTTAATCGTTGATGTAATGTTAACTTGGATGTAGCTCCGGTCCTGTCTATAATGACCCTCTTCAACCAATTTGGCTGTTGTAATCCATAAAAATTCGAGCACACAAATGATCTGGAAACAGACTGATCTTTGTCTGCTGTCTGTTAAGGCTTAGGTTTCCTTTAACTGTTCTTAGTATCTTCCGTGAGCTTGGCTTATGTTAACTTTCACGCACAAGAAGAACCAACCTAGGGATGGGTTCCAGCTGTGGAAGGGGAACAGAAAGAAACTGTCCCATTTAATCTCCATCATGGCGATTTAATTATTCCAGTTACAATGGGCGCCATTCCTCCCCCTCTCTATGTGGCCTGAACGGTCTGTAATTATTATGGCAATAATTGAAAGCCATTGTCCCACTAGTTTAAAACCCCTTAGGATGCATCTAATTTCCATTACACTCTCCACCAGACAATGCACTCAAGATATCAGAATTCCACGGTTTCAAAGCTGTTTTGTAATGTTGAGCAACAACGATATGGGATTTCCAGCGGTTCCATTACAGCCTTGTACTCTAAACCCAAGACCCACGTTGACAACTTAGGTTGCATGAAGATTGCGGCTGTACGTGGGCCTGCTGAGAAAGAGAGAGGCAGGGGTAAGAGAACCATGTCGTCTACGGTTCTGGAGATTCCGGGTGAGGAAGACTCGTCCAAGCGCTCTAGCACCTTCGAGGAAGACTTTGACTCGATGTCTGACGCAGAGTCCTCATGTCATCAGGGACTGGATGTCGTTGATACAACATTGAAGGATGAAGAATGCAATATTGATGAGTTGTTTTCCCATGAAGAAGCGAGAAAGAAGCTTAAGTTGTTGGCAGATATGGTCGGAGCTGACACGAAAGAACCTGGGTTTGTGCTGGCTAAAGTTGTGACTGTTTTGAAGAGCTTGAGGAACGGAAGCGGTCATATCCATTTACCCAGAAAATAACTGTTATATATTGGGGTGATCCATTAATCCTTGCCTGTCAACCATCTTCTCCGACCATAGTTACGAAGACGTCTGGCCTTCTCTTCTTGTGTGTTCAAACGATCAGCCCGAAATATTTCTCCACTTTCGGGTGGTGAGAGCATTTTGCTGGCGTTGGAGAATGATTCTTGGTTTGTGCTTTCAGTGTTCTAACTAGAACTGTTGATGGGCATGCTTGCATCTCTTCTATCTTATTTCCATTTTTTACAGGGATGTTTTCAATATTTTAGAATCCGTACTGAGTGTGATCAGGATTTGCCAGATCCAACCCCTCTCCTTATGAAGGAATGGCACGTATGTATCTGCTGGCGGTGCACTGTTAAATCATTCTATAATTTGTTCAATAATTTACGTTAGTGCTATTCTCGCTCTAAAATTTATTATTCAAATTCCATAATCTACTGTTATTTCTTAAGTCAAAACACCCCTAATTATGTTTTCCATAAATTATGATAATTAGATTAAAAAAAATAAAACTAGAAGTGACATTACATTTATATCTAGAAATATAGTCTTATAAGGATATTTGAATTTTATCTTTTTTTAATCATTCCCTGTTACCATTTCTAATTTCATTGAAAATGTTTTGGTTATACTACGTTTATTTTCTTGTTATATAATAAATGTGGAATGATATTTAACAATTCATGAATTGGGAATAATGCCACACTAATTTAAAAGCAGCACATCTCAACAACCCATTTAAATTGCAAAGCATCCTAGGAATTTTGCGAGGACAAAATCAACCTTTAGTTGATATTGTACATTAACATCAGGGAGCCCGTCTAGCTCAGTTGGTAGAGCGCAAGGCTCTTAACCTTGTGGTCGTGGGTTCGAGCCCCACGGTGGGCGCTTTCTCTACTATTTCATTTTTCTATTCTCTTTCTACATTTTTTATCCAGTATTTTCCTTTGTATTCGCTTTCTATATCCAAGAGTAAGCTGTTTGTCAAAAATAAATTTTAATTTATTTAAAATTATTATTTTTAATTATTTTTATAAAAAAATGGTCAACATAAAGTTTTTCAAAAAATTAAATTTTCTTTGCCTATACATTATTTTAATATGCTTTCAAATAAAAATAAAAATTTAAAAACAACCATGATCATTGGTTAAAGCAATGATTTTTTTTTAAAAGAAAAGTACATTATTACACGCATGGTTTAAAATTTAATAACCTTTTGACATCTTTTTTTTATTATTATTCACCACCCACCACAACACAAGTAATAAACTAATTCATTTTGTTTTGTCAATGGTCCTCCGGCTATCAATTTCGTATTTCATGTTTTATTTTTTAAATTTTTAGTGAATGCCGCTAGTTAACGCATGATTTCGTCAATGATTCAACGGAAACGGTAGATCCAATAAACAGGCACTCAGCACAGGTCCCAATCTAGTATATCATGGCTCCATTACTTTAGACTAACATTTATTTTTATCTGCCAAGGAATAATTTCCTCCGCCCTTAATTCAACCAAGCCTCCCATCTTTCCTGCTTCTAACGTACATTACCACGACAGACTACCGCCGAGTCCCTGAGCACCTTGGTGGAGAAGTAGCAGCACACCCAGGGAGAACACAACAAGATGACCTCCATGAATTTCGTGAAGAGCGCACGCTATACTTACCCTGTAAGGATTGTCATTTTTGGCACAGGCTTCTCTATCAGAACCCAGATAACATTCAGATCCCAGGAAAACCCTTATATGGATCTTAGCCAGCAGTCTTCATGCACTTCCTCTTACTTCCTGGCTTGAAGGGAGAGGACGGTTGAGATTTTGGAGATAATCAAGTATTTACCACCGAAGAACACTTGCCGGATTGTTTCATGGCAGCATGAGATACAAACGCAGTACAAATTCTTAGCACTAAAAAACAAAAAGAGGCCGAGTAAGCTTTGCACACACTATCTCGAAGACCTTCCAGTGGAGGATTCCCGTTTTCTCACATGGTCATATCAGTGCTTCAATTTAACGAGATCTTCAAACTGCCCCACGAGAACATTCATGGCACATTAGCGGAGTACTCTAAGTCAATGATCACAACCATATCAAATAGCATGATATGCCCCTCAAGGCATCACATAGAATTCTATAGAACTGTCCAGGCAAATGCTGAAACCCAGCACACTCATGCTTCGCAAAGTCAAAACATCTTAATTTTAGTAATATTGTATGAAGAGGCTCTTCAAGGACCAAAGATACTGCCTCAGTAGCTGAAAATGATCATGGGCGTGCCAAATCTCCCAACTGCACCAATCCCAAGCACATACAAACACATGCGGGGAACACCCATGCAAGCAATTACTCCAGTAGTGTAAATGACAAATTGAATAGACTGAGAATATACCACTATCCCATTCCCCATCCTGTATTCTGCGTCTGCGGCTTTGACTAGAAGCCGCAATTTCAAATCATATGATTACCAAAATGGCTGATTATGTTGCTGGCTCCGTTCTTAGAGCAATTACAACCAGCCCAACCTACATAATGATTCTTACATCTGATGCTCCTTGGCTTTATCACGGCAAAGGCTTATTTCTACTTTCACAAGAAAATGACCAATTTCACAATCTGCCAGTTGCATTAAAGATGCAACTTGACTGCACAAACATGCTGAAGAAACTACCAACTTGCAGAAACGTGGATCCACCTAATACACCAGCAGGAAAATGTCATTAACATCTTCCCTGGTCAGCAGTCAGGCAACCTCTTCCAACCCAAGTAATGGTAAACATCAAAGAAACATTTGTTTTATGGTCTTCAATTGCCATCCCTGCATGATAATTCTTGGTTATATTCATTCCTTTGGATGCTGTAGATGAGAGAAAAATGTACTCCAGCAAATTACCAAGTATGAACTAGTAATAGAGAGACGATTAGAACAGTTTACAGCATGAATATCAATTTGCTACAGGTTCATATAACCTTGTGGACATCAACTTAATAGAACTGAATAAACTTATGATTTTCGGTGAACCTGAGCAATCAAGGAAATTATATTTTAAGAAACAGGAAGGTTAAAATCAAGACAAGGACAGATGAGTCGCATATCAAATGCAGGCTGAAGAAAAAGACACAGGACAGAAAAAAAGAAGGCCAAAATAAGGCTGCAATGAAGAAGTGTTACAAAAAGGACAGCAAGGACCATAGTATGCTTATCTCATTTCTCTTCATCAGCACCTTCAGGAAAGGAATATATGTTAAAAGGGAGAGAGCACATTCAAGAAATAGAAATCAAACAAAAACACAATGTATAACAGATCGTTTGAAAACAACACTACTTCAAATCGTTCTGGTGACTTCATCACATTTTTAAATGCATAGAAACATGCATCTCAGTGTATAAATCCATCTTTCTTCTACAACTTGTTTATCAGCATTTAAAAATCTTCAGAGACAGTAACTTTTTTCCCATGTTTATGAAATTTCTGGCATATAAAACAAGTGGATTATCAATCCTGTTCAGCTTACACTCTTACACTTGCATGAAAAACATCTATTACATTTACCAATAACCTCATGTCAAAATGACTTCGATAATTCTCCTGTGTCAGAAAGAATCATGGGGAATTTATGTGTAACATGGTAACAATATTCATTAGAAATAAGGAATTTCCAGTGATTGAGGTGCAAAATGCTCCTGGAACTGTTTAAGGCTCCAGTGATACCATAGTAAGAGCACATCAGGAACTTGGAACTATAAATCAATCAAAACAAGGAAAATTGTCATCAGTGATCCACATGGAAAAAGGGGTTTTTTATATCCCCTGGTGGCAAAAAAATGTGATGAGGGGGGCATAAGCTTCACATTTAAATTCATTACATATATCCATAAATACAGTATTCTATTGTCATTCACGACATCTATGTACAGGACAGAAACCAGGCTTTGGATAGTCGATATTTTGTAACCAAAGTGCTTGTAGTCACCTTAAGAAAAAACAATGTGAGCAGGTTTTCTTAGAGGAACATAGTACACTGGGGCCCATAAATATGCAATCGAACTTCTTCACCAGACACAGGTGAAACAATGACTCCAAATCACCAAAGATTTTGCTGCCTCCAATAGATGTATCACAAGAATCCTCTTAACCAGATCCATTGCTAAAACATAATGAATGGTATTGCATCAACCATATTGTTAATGGAACAGTATAATTGCATTCCCAGAGGCATGTACCCAAACTTTGTGCACGACTGATGTATGGACAAGAAAAGTTACCATCTTGCTCACTTTGCAGAATGAATGCGTTGCAATGATGATATCCAGCTACTGGAAGGACCAATTTTATTGTTGTGTCCATGAGCAGGCTTAGCACTTTCAGTTGGCAGAACAGGCTTTGAGGCATGTCGTTTTGATGTCCCACCAACTTGAAATGAAGTGGATGGTATGTGTTCACTCACAATCTACAAAAGAAATCAATTTTAGAATTCATAATACTTTAAAATCAATCCATGAAAGGCAATTTTGGGGTGATTAATTCACAGTATTCTTTGGCAATTCAATAACGCAACACAGGAACAATGGGATTCAATACATTATAAGTAGCCAGAAGACTTACTTTACTGTCAGTGTGATAAAAACATCTTATTTGCTTATTTGGTTGGAAGTATAACTTACGTTCTTGTCAGCATGAATATCAGAAATCAGATTCTTTCCCATCCCTGATTTTGATTGCATGCGTATGCCAGGACCAGTTGATCGCATGATCTCAGATGAATAACAGGCATTATGACTTCCTGCAAGTTAGAACAAGTCATAGTATATCTAAATAAGAACCAAGTCATCAACAAAGATAAATGTCTATATAAACATGCAAAACATAGATTAATATTCCTAAATATACATGCACCTCTACCTAATTATTGTTCCATTCGGAAGCCAATCTCATCAACTGAGTAATTCTGTAAATAAGTTTTACAGATCATCTTTCATGCATCATAAAAACACTTGATTTAACCACATATCATTTGCTAACAAAGTGTGCTTGTTGAAAAAGGGGGTTAAAACCATGTAACTCTTTCCACAAATCAATTCCCAAATCTATGATAACAAGATTCTGACAGCCTTTGATTAAGTACATCTTATGTTTTAAGAGACATGTTGCATCGTTTGTCTTAAGGGGGGAGCATTTTTAATTTATTGCGACAACCGATCTACTCCATTCCGATTATAAGGAGATAAAGATAACAGAACGCACCACAACAAGGAGATTAAATAGACTACGGTAATGTGGTCAAGCCGATGCCAAAAAGAGTTTGGTTATCATAGGGAGATCTAGCAAGTAAAATGGTGCATAATACACAAAGGGACTTGTATGGCCATGAAGAAGATAGGAACTTCTATGTAGCATTCTCAAAATATGAATAACCATCATTGGTTATAGCAACAGCAACCCATCATTGGTTATAGCAACAGTAAAATGGTGCGTAACACACAAAGTGCATCAGCAGGATCTAACCTTGATGATTCTCCATGTCTGTCTGCACTGCATGACTGCTACATACCCCAGGATTTGGCTGTAACATGTAAGGTTTGAATTTTGTTATGAGTATGACTATCCAAATTTCAAACTATTAAAAAATGAGATTGTATACAATTGCAGCTCATGTAACTAAAAAATTGATCCTGAATATAAACCCTGTGATTACTAATGCAAACATTTTAAGCAAAGATGGTTGAGGAAATAAATAAAAATACAAGAGGCAAGGATACTAACAGATGACCGAGGTTGAGATCTATTCTTTTGTGCCTGCTGATACTTTATGATTGTCCAATCAAACACATAATCAAATTCATATCCTGTCATGAAAGGACAGGAAAATGAAGACACCAATTCAGATACATCAGATGAAGCATTTAAATGTAATTTTCATCCCTCAAGTTCAGAAGACCATAGAGAGAGTATAGCACCACCACTACCATCACCCCAACTTTTTTTCTTCTCTTATAGTTGTGGTATAAAGACTAGATCGATTTGTGATTTGATTTTTAGTTTTTTTTTTTCCTTTGCAAAGATTGTTTTCCAATGCACAGGACCACACTAATAACTATGAAAATACCTGATTAGATCTCTAAGCTCATGACTTGTTACTGCTGTTGGTTAAACATGGAGTAAAAACAAAATGGAAGACAAAGAACAGGCCCAAGAAAGTATAATAGTTTACAAGAATCAGTTTAGACCACTTTGTGGTTTCATTATAAAAGCCTGTGATTGCAGCCACAAGGAAAGATATCCAGGCAAGAATCCCTTTTTGTGTTACTAATATATTGCAATACCAACATTTTCTTTGTCAATACCTTCATGGGAAAATAGATCACGAAACAAGCGTTTCAAGAATCCATAATCAGGCCGTTGATCAAATGTCAGCGAATGGCAATAATGCATATATGAAGCAAGCTCCACAGGATGGGATTTGCACAGAACCTGAGAATTAAGAAATGTATGTTAAAATTATATTGACGCAAGCTAAAGTATTCAGAATAATTAAATGGAGTTGATTACTTTTATTCACATAGGAGTTGATAACTTCAATAGTAGACACACACCTCAATAGGAGTTGATAACTTCTTTTCACATATTTTGTCGTATTTCTGCTTCTTTGTGGCAGCTTTTAAACCCTGCCATGGAAGACTAAAACCACAGGCACAACTGAGTCATTTTAATTTTTCAAAAATCCAAGACTCCAGATCATCATAAGCTACTGGAAATGTGATAACTTGATAATCCCAATACCTCAACAAAACACAAAACAAAGCCAAAACTTCAGGCCTAGGAGTACATAACTTTAACTGCAAGAGAAAAAAAAGTCCGCCAAAAAGAGAAGCCAATGAAATTACCTCCCTCTCAGAAAATATAACAGCACGTAGCCAAGTGACTCTAAATCATCCTGCCGACTTTGTTCTGCCACAAAAACACAGAATGAAGTGGGATCAGGACCGATGCTAATGAAAAGGTCAAAAAACTAAACTTTTTATTCATACACGCAGGTTTATATACATGATAATATCTCCTTGCTTACCAATTCCAAGATGAGTATTGCAACTGGCATATCGTGCAGTTCCTGTTAAGTTTTTGTTCTCCCTGCACAGCAAAACAATTAGGAGGTCAAAAATGATGAGGAAATAATCGCTTCTGAATCAAAATTTGCTTCCTGACACATTTATTTTGCTTTCCCCATCAAATTCTCACTAAAGATAGATTACCTGTAAGGAATATGACGATTGGTTGATGCATCTCGATATCTTTTTGCAAGCCCAAAATCAATTATGTAAACCTGATGTAAACAAAAGGAGCACGAGCGTGTCAACACATGGTAACCAAGTCTATCAACCAAAAAGAATGAAAGAAAATACAGGCAAAATCATCACCTGATTTGCCTTTCGACCAAGACCCATGAGAAAGTTATCAGGTTTTATATCTCTGTGCAGAAATCCTTTAGAGTGCACATATTCTATCCTGGTAATCTGCCCAAAATAATAATAATAATAATAATAATAAGAACAAACCATGATAAGACTAAAAATGGTACAAATTTGAGTGCCTATAAGCTGCCTACCATTTGATCAGCCAACATTAACACAGTCTTGAGTGAGAACTTCCTCCCACAATACACAAACAGGTCCTCCAGACTCGGTCCTAACAAATCTAGCACAAGTACATTGTCCTCCCCGTCTGCTCCTGACCATTTGATACTAGGAATACCGCCTTCATCAAAACAAATCAAAACTCAATTATAGACATCATCAACCTCACTTATACTACTGATTACATCATTCATGTTATACATACTTCCTCCTTGAAGAATATTATATAACTTCGCCTCGTAAAGCAACTGTGGATGCTTTGTTTTACTGTTCTCCTGCATATCATCAAATTAAATTAAATAGCTAGACAACAGTAGATAAAAACAAAACAAAACACAAAAAACTAAGTCATGCTCAAAAATTAAGAAAACATACTATCTTAATAGCAACGATCTCAAACGTATCGATATGAGTAGCTGCAACAACACACACGCAAGAAAAACGATAAAAAAATTATCAAAAAAAATTAGCTTAATATGCATGCAAAATAATAATACTAGTAGCAATTTACCTAGATATATTTCACCGAAGGATCCACTACCGATCTTGCGGCCAAGCTTGTACTTTCCACCGATGATCCGTTCCATATCAGAGCGCAAAAAAAGGATAAATTAAATGTAATTTTTTTTTATGGATCTAAAACTCAAAATTGAAGAGTTGTGGTAAACGGAAAGCAGGGGAGAAAAGCAAAGCAGAGAGGGAGAGAGAGAGATGGTGGATGTGGTGGGAGGTGGCTTTGCCTAGAGCTTTCGTCGCTTTTTCAGATTTGTCGAGGAAGGATACGAAAATAAATAAAAGAGAGTAAATATCGAGGGTAGTTTTGGCATTTTGATTTGTTGACTACTGACTTCAACTATTTCGTCAAAAGCCATTTTGGCACCTGTAATTTGATTTGAGGCCGGCGGCAGTTTCATTTATTTTTCAATTAATTCCCGCAAATTTTATTCCTAATTCATTAGTTTAAAAACTGGCAGCGGCGCTAGGGTTCTATCCGCTGATTTGTTCCTACCTTAATATTGAAGATGGAAAGTAGATTCGTGTCGTGCGTGAAAGTTTAAGGGTGAGGCGGAGGGACGTGATTGGCTGGCAGAGAGCGTGTGAGAGAATGATGTAATGGTGCTAGTTGCGCTGGCAGGACCACGGTTGCCTTGGACTGATAGGAGAGCGTGTGGGAATGATATGGGCGCGGGTGCTCTCATCGTGTGCCGATGAGTTTTTGCTCGGCCGTGTGGCCCCTGATCCATGGTGATGAACAGCAGAACGTGTTTTCATGCCGGTATCCTCCCAAAGAACAAAACAACAATCACATTAACTTTTGTGCGATTGTGGGTTAAATGCTGAAATATAATAAATAAAACAAATAATTTCCCAAACAATTCACTATTCTCTATAATAATAAAATAATATATGTAACCTTTTAAGAAAAAAAGTATTTATCTTGAAATGATCAATATTTTTATCTTTTTACGTAATATATATTAGTAGAGATATTTTTGCATTTTTAGTATTCTAATGAATGATAAATTGATCATTATGCCCCCTCAAAACTAAAAAACCCACATTGTAGGGCAAGGGTTTTTAAGATCTTTTATTTTTATAAACTGAATGAAATTATAAATATGCTTTTAGTACCAGAAAATAGTTTTGAAATCAGGGGGTAGGGGTCTTTTTGTCTCTATTGTAATGTTAATGGTTGATTTTATTAAGGGTAATAATATTAATTATCATTTAAATTATATTTTTAATTTAAAAATTTATTAACACATGTTATTATGGAAGTCACTACATATTTTGGGCATCACATGTGGCGATCCCTGTGTTTCAAAATATGTTTCTATTATCTCATTTTATTCTTTTTTTATTTCTTTTTTCTTCATGAGTGGCATGTGCCCTCTTATGGTGGCTAGTTTATCATTGATTACTTTTTTCCGATTACTTTTTTCTCTTACCCCAATAAATGTACTTTGATCCTCATTGTTATTGGTATTTTATATTCAATTTCATGTAGTTTTGATTTTTTTTATTTTTTTAAAGTTTTATTTATTTTCAATTTAAATCTATAACTTTAATTTATATATATTAAAATATATATATTTTAAAAGACCTGGGGAAAATACTATTGTACCACTATTCAATAAAAGACAAATTATAGTAGATTGCCATAATGATTTGCTTTTTTTGTATGGTCTCTCTCTTTTTTTCCAATTGCATCTTTATATGTCTAAATTGATACCTAATTAAAACATATTTATTAAGAGGGTATTTAGAAGTATAGTAGCGATTGCTTTTCATTTTAAAACATATTAAAATAATTTTTTTATTTTTAAAAAATTATTTTTAACATCAGCATATTAAAATAATATGAAAATATCAAAAATATATTAATTTAAAAAATAAAATAAAAATTAAATTTTTTCAAAAGTATTTTCCAACTATAATGCCAAACATTACCTAAAAAAAGGTAAGATTCAAAAATAAGAGACTACACTGAAAAACACATCAAAAGAAGATGGTTTTTCTAAACTCAAGGCTAAACATATAATTTAGTCTTCTAACTTTTTAAATTGTAAACTTTTAGTTCCTAATAATTTATGAAATTTAATTTTGGTTCGAACTTTTTTTTTCTTCCTTATTTCCTAGTCCCTAATGTGAGAGAGGGAAAGGAAAGCGGCTGAATTCTGGTAATAAAGAGAGAATGTCCAAGTTAAGATTGATTTTAACCATGAAAATGAGTGATTTCGGTGTCAACTGGTTTTCTTTTTTATGATAAAATTTTATTCAAGGTGTTTCCCCCCTTAAACTTGCTTAAAATGATATATCTAAATCTAAAAAGAATTTTAATTTTGTTTGTTAAAAGCTATAATTATGTTTTCCAAGGTGTTTATAATATTTTTTGGTTGTTAAAATATGGTTGCCAATAGGTTTTTCTTGGTTTAAAATCGACTTGCATGATTTTCTATCAACCTCTTTAGCCAGGGCAGGAGATGTGTTGTTTACCTTGGTGAGGCAAGCAACATGTTGATTTTTTTTTTAGTAAATTAAAGGGTAGACAACTTGTTATTCTCCCCTTAAAAAATGAAGAAGTAAGGTTTAGATGCGAGCATTACTCTAGGCCAGCACACTTTAACCCTCCTAGTCCAAGAGACTAAATATTTTTTTCTTTTTTTTAATTATTATCTATTACAGCTGATTTTTTCATGTTTTTTTTAATTTTATCACTTAATATATGGTTGATTATTAATTAGGCAACATAATTTGTTTTGATTTGATTTTAATTTCCAATCACCTTGATATTTAGTATGCTCTTCATTTTATAAGTATCTATTTTAGATTAAAAAACATGTTGAACCCAATTGAATCCGAAATCCAAGTTACGAGTTTTATTGGTTAGCTTCGACTAGGTAGGAACCGGGCTTTATTATTATTTTTATTGCATATATAGTTTTTGATTTATTTAATTAGATGTATATATAAACTTCTCAAATTCAACCTATGATTTTTTTATGTACAAAAACACAATGTAAAAGTTTGCATATATATATTTTTTAAAGAAAAAAGAATATTCAACCCATGGCGAAGCACAAGTTAAATAGCTAATAACAACTATAAGGGAAGTTGATTTGCTTGTATCAATAAACTCAGTTTATTATTTACTATAATAGTAAAGTGACATTTATAGCCTTAAAAAAAATTATTTTCACCAGAATCAGGGGTATTTTTATCTTTTCACATCATGCATTAATCGATATAGATTTGTTTATGATATTTTTATCTTTTCAATATTCTAATAAAATAGTAAATTGACCACACTACCCTCAGGAATAAAAAAACTAACATTGTTAAGCAAGGGTGTTTAAGACCTTTTATTTTTTATACACTATTAAATTGTAAATTTGCCCTTGGCGCTTAAAAAAATAGTTGTGGAATTAGGGGTATTAGGGTCCTTTTATCTTGATTTTACTATTAATTGTTGATTTTATCAAGGTAATAATGTAAATTAGCATTTAGATTATGTTTATAAATTTGAAAATATATTGACGCTTTATGTCATGTGGGAGCTTCTATGAATTTTAGGTGGCATATATAACTGCTCTTGGTAGTTGAAAATATACACTTTCCATCTCATTTTATTCCTTTTCGTCTCCTCTTATTTTATGAGTAATGTGTGTGATCATAAGGTGAATGATTTATCATCGGTTATCTTTTTCCCCTTTTGATCTTGTCTCTCTTGCTTTGAGAAATGCACTTCGATTCTCATTATTATTGGTGCTTTATATTCAATCATTTTGGTTTTGGTTTTTTATTTTTATTTTTGTTAAAATTTTATTATTTTCAATTTAATCTTTCTAATTCTAATTTGTATATATTAAGAAATACTCTAAAAGACGTGAGGAAAATATCATTCGTTACGCTATTTTCAACCAAAGACAAATCACTGTAAATTGCCATAATCATTTGTTTTTTTTATTTAGTCCTTTTTTTATATAATTACATCCTTTATAAGCTCAAATTAATGAATTCATATTTATTAAGGAAGAACGAGATTCAAAGATAAGGTAGCAGACTAAGAAAACATAAAAAAGAGATGGTTTTTCTAAACTTAGAGTAAAAGATACACTTTGATCCTTTAACTTTTTAAATTATAAACTTTCAATCCCTAACAATTTATAAAATTTAATTTTGATTCCAAACCTCAAATCCTTATTTTTTCATCCCAAACCTCAAAAAGTATTTATTTTTATTTTTTGATATGCTAAACTATGCAATATTTTTTTATATTCTTTTTTTATTAAAAATGCAAACATTATTTTGTTTTTGCAAACTTGACCACAGCACATGGTAATCTGCATTAATACAACCCCTTGAAAAGCATGATTCTACTACCAAAGGAGTGAACATAATCCAAAAAAAAATCAAGGAACACAAGGCATCAAAGCATCTGAGAAACAAAGAAACCCAACATTGGCTTGCCACGTGTACTTGTTTGGTATTGTGGCTGTAGTTACTTTTAAAATAAATTATAGTTTGTAAATGTTTGGTTAAGAAAAAAAATAATTTACTGTGTATGCGTCCCATAGTAAATTACGTATGAAACGCAGGGAGAAATAAAGCAGTAAATTGTTGCTTTCTTACACGGATAAAAAGTGAAACCATGCCTGCACTGTTCAGTGAACAGTGGAGTATGCCTGCACTGTTCACTGAATGGTGGAGGTTGCAACAGTGGAGCATCCATTGTTTCGGCTGGACCGGATCCAGCCAAACGCGCAAAATACATTAAACCGGGTTTGACCTAGTAAAATAATTTTTTTATTTTTTAATTGTGTTTTATTCATTTGATGACATAGTATTTGCATAATTTAATCGTAATTATAATTTTGTTCCTGATTATATTTTACAAGTTATGTTGTTGAGCGTTTAAGAAACCAAAAAAATTATCGAATATATTTCAGACGTGATGAAATTACAGATAGTTGAATGAAATAATAAAAAATATTTTATATAAAGTATTATTTATTCCATGATGTAATAACAATAGTTAAACATATAATATTTAAATTAAAACCCATCAACATATATATATATATATATATATATATATTATTTTGTAACCTTAATTTCAAAAGCATTCTTAACTAAACACATTAAACTACTTTTTATTTAATTTTATTTTTAATTATAGTTTTAACCAAACATATATTTTTCCAACCTAATTTCAACTAAAAGTATTTTTTACAAAATAATTTTTTTCAAATCACAACAACAACCGTGATACCAAACACACTTGTCACCTGCTGTCCCGAAAACCAAATGAACAAATGTTAATAGAAACAAGAACCTGACTTGGCTTATTTTCACAGCGACATCTCAGTTTGTATGCTAAAAAATTATTATTTTTTATTTTTAAATTATTTTGATGTGATAATATTATAAATGATTTTTTAAAAATAAAAAAAATATTATTTTAATATATTTTTTAATAAAAAACAACAAATACTATATTTTCGAACACCATTGAACAAGACACGACAGCCACTAGGTTTTTTTTTTTTTAATGGATAATCATCAATCGAAGGAAGCATGTATTCATAACATATGGTTGCTTGGATTTGTCTCAGGGATGCTATCCCGTGATTATCGAAAACATGTATTTGTTAAATAACCAAGAAAAAACATGCACATGATAAACACAAAAATGGAAAGATGACTAGCACAAATCATTTTATCACAGATAAACACATTAAAACACTTCTATGTATGCCAAACACATTTAAATATTATTCTAGTTTGACAGTCAAATAATGACTTCCAAACGAAGTTTAAATTATCTTCAGAGTTATTTATCTTAAAGACAGTGTATGTGGACATCATATCTTTTATGATAATCTTTTATTTATTTATTGATTTTTGTATATGATCTTTTAAATTTCTAGAGCATCTTTTTAATTTGTTTTTCTTTTATATGTGTGATAGGTCATGGTTTCTATAAACCAACCTCATTTTAAAGGCTATTACATGAAATCACAATCTAAAATGAGGTTATGTCTTTTTTTATGCCTAATCCTAGATTGAGCTATGACTTTCCCACACCCAACGACAAGTTAAATCAGGACACATCTGCGCACAAGGGCGGAGCCGAGAATTTTTCCTATTCTGGGCTATTAAATAAATATATAATTTTTTTAAGATTAATTATTAACTAATGTATATGAATATTTGAAGTTAACAGTAAAGTTTTAATTCAAACACACTACTCAAAATATTAAAAAATAAATTTAAAGGTATATAAAATTAAAGTAAAAGTAAAAATAAACCCATTTTGAAGTTATATCCTTCTATATTTTATGGAAAATAATTCATTCATAATCGAATCTGAATCGATATTGTAACAACCCCTCAACCGGGATAAAATAACAATCTAATGTTAACTAGAAAACAAAGTAATTAAATTATTTCCCTATCTCAATTCCTCCTTCCTTAACTTAATTCTTTCTTAGATTAGTGTTTTATACGTTGGACTTTGTAAGTCTACAAGGTTATTCTCTTACTTTTCTTATTTGTTTTCTTGAATTTTTTTATATTTTCCCTTTACTTTTCTCTCTGTCTCCCTCACCTTTTCTTTTCTTTCTTTTTTTATTCTGCTTCTGCCTAGTCAGTAACATATAAAAGAAAGGAAGAGCTGATTTTTTTTATTTTTTAATAGCAAATAACTATTTTACCCTTAATGAGTTGTTTTGTTTTTATTTGACGGTTTTTTTTGTTAGCATTACCAAACTCCGTTTATCCTAAAACTTTAATGATATTTTATTCAATATATTTTTAAGATCCCTTGCAAAATTTAGCTTAATCTGATGATCAGATTGAAAATTATATTCAATAATATAAAATTGGTTAAATTATAATTTTTCATCAAATTTCTAAATTTCTTAAAATTTTTTGAAATTTAACCAAAGCTAAAACATCATATTAGAAGGCTATACATAAATTTTTAGAATTTTAACTCAATTGAGAATTACGATTTATATATATATATATATATATATATAGTCAAGATTTTATCAATATTTTTTAACTAGTTATATATATATATATAAAACTAGTTAAAAAATATTGATAAAATCTTGACTTAGGCTAGAGCCCACCCAAGCCCTTAGCATGTCTCTGTCCTTATTTGCATATAACCCTATGATGGGCTAGAAATGCATCCGCGCCCTGCCCTGTGCTGGGCAAGGGACATGTCCCACCGAGCTCCATATTGAGTCATGGCATGCCCGCACCCAACTGCAAGTTGGGTAAGGGCACATTCGCGCCTAACCCCACAATGGGCTAGTAATGCGTCCGTGCCCAGGCCTACAAGGGGTCAATAACACAATCGCGCGTAACTTCATGCTGGACTATGACGTGTTTGTCCCTGACTATTTTTTAGTATAGTCACATGCTGAACTCAACTCCTACTGGAAAAGTGTATGAGTTGAACAAAACGCTCTTCAGGTTGAGTAAACGACTGAAATGTAACTCCATATTGAACCTTCCATATTCTGGGTCTAGGTTACTAATTATGATATCAATCACATTCTATTAATATGAACAAGCATCCTATATTCATATTAATTAGATATATGGTATAACCTGTATAATAATATTATTGTACTATTATGATATTACATCTCTATCCTTTTTATGTTGTGTGAAGCAGGTCAAGCCAATTAATATAAAAATGAGTGGAATATACAGAAAGAGGTTCGAAACTTTATACTCTGAGACAAAAGCACATTATCTGCTTCTTCCTTAATTTTATATCTTCTTCTTTTTTTTTCCTCTATCTTCATAAAAAACTTATTAATACTTTTATTAATGTTTTTTGTTACATAAAAATATCTAGTACTAACTTTATACAAGTATTTATTCATGAATAGATTAACACCCCTTAGAAGATCTATTAAAGAAGAAGCCAGTGCAGTCTTGAAGTGAAGGTTGTAGACCACACTGTGAACTATGTGCAAGGATCTCTAAAAATAATTCATCTCAATATTTTGTAACCTCATCAATTTGATTCATGTTTTTTTTTAAATAACTTATAAAAATTAATTTTTTTAATTTCACCCCTTTAATCTTTTATTGGTCATACCTAGTCCCTATTTTTTTATTATTTTATTTGAGATAATTTTTAAAATTTATTTTTTTACTATCTCATCCTCTTTTAATTTTTTTCAATTTGATTTTGATTATTTTTTATTTAATAATTTTTATAAATTAATTCTTTCTTAATTTTATTTTTTAATATTAAATTACTGAAAAATTAAACTTAGGTTAAATAATTTAATTTCATCCCATGGTTAAATAATTTATTTTCCAGCACAATTCACCACATTAAAATCCGGGAGTATCTTGCCAGCCAGCCAGCCCTAATTCTGGCCCTTAAGCATCCGATTTCAAATCCTCCCTCTTAATTGCCCAAATCCTACTTTAGCGACCGGAACTGCAGAGCTCACTACAATGGGTGGAGGAGACATAGAGAAGATGATCACCATAGGCCTAGTGTGGGGTGCCACCAATGCCTTAATTCGTCGCGGTGCACTTCTCTGGGACCACCAATCCCTAAAATCTTCTTCTTCTTCTTCGTCTTCCGTTTCGTCTCCTCCAAAATTCCACCAGAAAATCCTCTCTTCACTCAAAAGCTGGCTCAGCCTTCTCTTATTTTGGCAATACTCTCTTCCTTTCTTGCTTAATCTCTCTGCCTCTGCTATCTTCTTCGCCATCTTAAGTGACACCCCCATATCTCTGGCTGTCCCAGTCACCAATGCTACAACATTTGCTGCTACAGCTGTGTTTGGAATGCTTTTAGGAGAAGATACCCGAGTCGACTTCGCTTTGCTGGGCACAGGTTCTATCGTCATTGGTGTTTGGCTTTGCTGTGTTACATGATTTTCGATTTATCTGATGTTCTTACATTAATGTTGTCCTGTTTGAAATATTTCACATTCTACAATAACATATCAAACTTTATATCATATAGTGGGGGTATAATGTTCAAAATCAATCGTTACATTGGATAGAAACAATGAAATTTGGAATAGCATGAAACACGGATGCAAAAAACGAAAAACAAAATCAATATGTTTAAAGAAAAATTTATATTGCAGTTGAATGCTGGTGGCAGGAAAAGGAACTGAAGTTTCCGGGATGAATATCCTTGCTCCATTTTAGAACTGTGCCTTAAAACATTCAGGTGGCATTTGTCCATTGAACCTCCTAGTGTCATTGCAGTAGTTGTAGATCATGTAGTTGTCTCTGACCCAGTTCATTTGACCCAATTGGGCATCGCTCAACTTGCTATAGGTGGGGGATGTCCACCAGTTAGCTGGGGTGTTGGCAGCACATTGATTTATGCTAACTGGTCCATTCCACTTGCAAGCCCTTGCCCTAAAATTGCGGTATCTTGCTATGAAGGGTGCCACTGTCCAATCAATCTTAACTCGCCCACCTTGCGTAGCCCAGTTATCAGCATTCCACAAGCTGGAGTAAACCCTCATTCCCTGTTTGTTTGGGTAAGCAATCCCCTCATTTTCATAGTTACGGAATACGCGGATTGGTACATTATCAATGTACCACCTGAATTGCAGTGATAAATATCAAGTTAGGTAACATTAGGCTTCTGGATTATCTAGGAATTAGATAGCTGGTTTGGTGGATGTAGTGAAGTAAGCTGGGAAAATGAAAGTTTAGCAAAAGCTTCACGAAGACTATTTAAGTTATGTTTGGAGAAAAAAAGTGCACATTTTGGGAATCCACTTGGAGTGCTGTGCAGCATAATCTGAATGTGGAGTCATGCTGGTTTCTTTTCTTTCCCCTTTTCTTTCATTTTTATATCATCATCATTAATAATTTTGTTTTGTGAATAGTGAATATCTGATCATACTTCTGTAAGCCATCGACAGATAAGGCCAACGTTGTAGAAAAACAGAAATGGTCAGCGAACTTACACAACTTCAGTAGGGTTCCAATGTATAGTGTAATTATGGAAATCTGCAGTTGGGTCAAACCAGGGGCGGAATTGCTGTTCCCTGCTTCCATTTCCTTGAGTGTAGATGTTTGTGTGTATGGTGTATGGCTGTCCTGATGTATTCCCTAAGAACTCGAAGTCTATTTCATCGTGTGTGTCCCCAGAAGAGGATACCTGCGCAAATTCATCATGGAGTTCATTATTTAGTAATTTCCATGTGTCAATATTCCATTATAAAGTTTTTTTGCTTTAAGAACTTCATTTAAATGCTGATCTATAATTGTTGTTAATCTTAGAGATATTCAAATGAGGTATTAATATGATTGGCCGTAACTAGATCTTCCTATTCATCTGTTCTTGCTCATGTTTATTCATGTATCTCTTATAAGTATCAATTATGAGAGAACAAACGAATTTTTAAAGCTTGAAATAATGAGCAGTGCTTATGTTATACAGAGCCATGAATGTTGGGTGAAATTATTGCACTTACGTAATAGGCAGTGACAGTTCCAGCTGAGTTGCCAGGTACCAGCTTAATTAACATTTGCATGCTTCCAAATAGGAACGGACGCTTCGATTTAACACCAGAGCCTGAAATCCAAAGATGATAGATTCACACAAAACTGATAATTAATGATTTCCTTCTACGTGATTAATTTACATAAAAAACCAATAATTTGATGGATAGTAAGCAAATCATCACCCGACGCCTGATTCAAGACAAGTTGAAGATCGTCGCCATTGCCAAGCATTGCAGAATTTTGAGCACCCCAATAGAAATACATGCTCTTGGAGATCTTGGCATTAACTGAACTTGGATCAAATGCCACTGCAAAGATGAATAGAGCTACCAAGAAAGCTCGTAAACTTGCCATTTCAACCCCAATGCAGAAGTTTCTTCGAGTTTAGAAAATCCTAGGAGTTGAAGTGGGATGCTTTTGTCATCACCCTTCAATAGCTTTATATAGCCTCTAACCTGCAAATGTTCCCTGCTCAGAAAAGTTTCCGTTTGGTGATTTTTTATGTAGTTTCCTTGGTGATTGACGTTCACATTTTGTATTAGTTCAAAGAAATACAGTTTAGGTGAATGGAAGTCTGACTAGTTGTAAGTTGTGCTCCCCACGAGGTCGATGTGCATTACCTGCAACATGGGCAGCCAGATTGGAAGAATACTCATTTATATTTTTCTTGTATAGTTTTTTTATTATTATGTTAATAGTTTTTTTTAAAGTATTTTTTATTTATAAATATATTAAAATATTTTTATTTTTTATTTTTTAAAATTTATTTTGGATATGAGCACATTAAAACAATATAAAAATATTAAAAAAATTAATTTTAAATAAAAAAATTAAATATTTAATAAACAACTGTAAAAATACTATAAGAGTAAGATAATATTTGGAAACGCAGTTTTATTATGAAAATTTGAAATATTATTATTTTTAAATGAAATTTTTTTATATTTATATAATATTTTGAATTACTTATGTGAAGAAGTAATTTTTAAAAAATAAAAAAATATTTTAATATTTATAGAAAAAACTTTAAACACTACTTTATTATCAAACAATCTTGAAATCTTCAATGGTTGCCACCTGTACAACTATATTTCAGTCTGAAAAGTTCTGAAAAGTTTGGTCAGATATATAATTTTATTGTCTCTGTGCATGAAGATACATGCGCTTCCAATGATTCTGATGGTGTCAGGAAATGTTGATGTCAGGAGAGAGCATGTGAAAATGGAGGGCAGGTAAGGAGTTGACGACCTCAGCAGCTGGGACGCGGTTGCGCTAGGACTAGGCAAGCATCGTGCGTGAGACTAATCAGTGCACACAAGGAGGAGAGGTAGCTAGGTCAGCCTAGCTGTGATGTGCACGTCCACACCCTTGGGAAACGCGAAATGCTAGTTCTAGCCTTAAGCCCAGTTTCTCTGAGTACGAACCACACATCCACACAGTCTAAAGTGTATTTAATCAAGTACTTCATTTCGAGTTTGCAATGCCATGATGGGTTCATTTATGGCCGTTCCGTAGCTGGGACATGCTTTAGCATTCGTTGCGTAGGAATTTGAACTTTACAGATTCCTGGAAAGTTAATTTCACGGGTAGCTCCATTAATTTGACTATCCAGAGCACAGAAAGAATGGTTAGATGGTAAAAACCCTTGCACTTCAAAACTAGGAAAAGGACTTGGTAGTCTCTTGCTTTTGAATTTCTGTTCCCTACTGGTTCATGGCCTCTGATTTACTCGGGTAGCCATATATAGTATGCTTATTGGATCTCCTGTCATGGCTCTGTTTATGTTTGAAAAACAGGGGTGAAAATTGAAAAATGTAGAAGGGATGTACAGTACCATAGACATGGTGGGCGTAGAACTCGTTTTATTGGATGGATTTGACGACGGATATGATACCATTCAGGAAAAGAACAAATAAGAAACTGAAAAAGTGAAACGAATAAAAGAATTTTATTTCAAAAGTGAGGTATCAGATTGGTTAGTTCATGCCCCTCTGGTATATATCATCCATGAAAAACTCTGAACAAAATCAAGTTCATCTACCAGCCCAAAATTAAAGGACACTTTATAACGGAGGGAGTCAGCTTCAGCTTCACTTGATCTGCACCCATGAGGAGACACTGGGTACTCCTTGATGAACAACAAAGAGCATGTAATACCCGGGAGGAGCAACCTTACCGCTCGGTGGTGACACGGCTGTGATAGTGTGGATCCCTAGGAATGCATTTTCGGTAATCACATCTTCCAAACCCAAGTCGAGGAGTCTTTGATTCATTGACACCCCATGAGTGGTAAAAGCAGGAGCGTACATTGTTACCTTGATGTCTTTCTTCTCTACTTTCAATGCTTTTGATTTGATAAGGAGCTTGAACAAGTTATTAAAACCAATCTGCTTTGGGGCTTTATCAGCAATAATCACAGGTCTCCGCCCTATCACTGATGGATCCAAGTAAGGTGGCAAGAATTTCTCAACCCTTAGTTCAGTGGGGAACATGGCATTATAAACGTAGCCATTGTTCGTGTTGCTACCAGCTACAAGGATTTTACCGTCTGGCAGTACCACAGATGATGAATGGTACATTCTTGGAATCGTAGAGGCTGTTAGTTCCCTAAACCTGTTGCCTAGCTTGGCTTTGGGATGATATATTGCTGGGCCCAAATTTGGTTCTCTGGCAAAACCCCATCCTGAGCATCCTCTTTTGGCACCATTGAGCAGGAGGACATCCCCCGTGGGAAGGATCATCATGTCACCCATGACACGGGGTGATGGCATGACTTCTCTCTTCCAGGCAGGCTTTTTATCTGTAATTCTGATTCTTCCACAGTCTTCGAGTGCAGTGTAGAATATATCTTTGCTAGCTTGGGTATATGCATCTCTGTGTCCGGAGCCTCCACAAACTAAGACTTCAGCCGGGATGACGCGATTGTTCTTTGAGTGTAGTTTTATTGGGAGCAGCACAGACATCCCGGTGGCAGGGTAGTTGCGGTGGCCACCTGGAAGGGCTGGGAACTCACGGACAACCTTGTTGGACTTGGGATTGAGCAGGACGGCACGATCATTGGCAAAGATGAAGAGGTTGCCATCGGTAGAGAGGTGGACAAAAGGATACAAATTGTTCTCATCCTTATCACTGGTTTTCTTTAGGAAGTCAAAGAAGTAGGACTTGGCATTGGAGCGTCCTTCTCGTGGAATGTACTCATAGCTGAAAGCGTCGCGACCACCAACCACGATGAATCCACCATCAGGTAGTTCCGCTTGTGTCGAGTACCTTAATTGACAAGTAGCAAAAAGTACAGTGTCAGCTTGTTGTAGCTTATAAACTATGCTTATAAGAACAGAAGAATCTAAAATGATTGTTCATCATGAGAAGAAAAATAGAGTAAATATATCTATATATATATACCATCTACGATCAGCAAGTGCAGTTGGGAATTCTCTCCAATTACACCCTTTACATGTCTCCAGATATCTAACAGTCTTGGCACCTCCCTGGAAACCGCCAGTGCCCACCAGGTTTCCATCAATGGAAAGACCTCCTGATGAACACCATGTATCTGTGTGAAGCTGTCATGAAAAAAGAATAATCTCAAACTGTTAGCTGGCTAGCTAGGAAAGAGAGCGATTGATCTAGCAAATTAAACTGAGAGGTTTAATCCAAAAACATGAAAGAATCCAAGAACATGAAAGATAGAATTAATTGCTTAGGTAGAATCTAGATAATTACACACGCACGCACACAGACGCAAACATTAATCGGTTAATCAGAATGAATACCTGTAGAGGTGTTATTGCCGTGGTGGCAATGTCAAACAGAACTGAATGACAAAAGCAATCCTTTTCACCTGTAGTTTTGTTAAGAAGACGGCAATGGCCAGCAGGCAACCGGATTTCTGATTTCTTCCAAATAGTAGCGTCATACATTAAGACCTTGTCAACTTTTGGAAGCAAGATTGCATGCATGGCTGATACTCCAGAGTTCACAGAAACCAACTGCCATGACCCTTTAGGCTCATTAGGTAGACCAAAAAAATTAGGATGAGAAGGGGATTCTGGCAGTGGCTCGGTCCCGAAATCGTTATCGATCTTTTTCCTCAAGTAATCTTGAGCATCTCCAAAAGGGTTATTAAACAGCTCATGGGGGCCTAATATCTTCTTCTTGTTGAAGAATTCGTAGGCATCTGGCCTCAACCAAAATTGGGCATAGCTCGCAACAAACAAGAGAGGGAGAATAACAAGAGACCTGAACACGTTCGCCATTGCAATCGATCGAGGGGGGTAATGTAACATGAAAAAAGAACTCTGAAACTTTCGCACCAGGCGAAATGTTTTTCTCTCCCTGACACTCCATGCTCTCTCGATGAATTTATAGACGAATCAAGTTTGCTGAGGGGAGACAAAAATAGAGCTTTGTTCCTTATTTAGAGGAAACCTCGTAATGCTTTGATGTCTATACGGTAGGAAATCTCTCTGTCCCACGTACGCGTAGGGAATCAGTAAACAAGCCAGCTATATTATCTGATGGTGTAAAAGGCACGGTTAATCTGAGGCAACTGGTAATTAAGGGCTTAATTAGTTCTCCACCGCTAAGTAAAAGCTCCAACACATCTTCGGCAGAAATAACTAATTAAAGGGCGAGCTCGGTTACCATGTCAGAAAAAGCTCCCAAGTTAATCAATTCTTAATAGCATGTTAATAAGATGTCGTGATGCATGCCGGAATCTAATTTTTCTCAGGATAATATTTACAAGATCCATTATAGTCAATTGATATATATTTCTCGATAAAAAAACAAAAACAATTACAAGATTTTATTATCTTTTAAAATATTTTTGTTCATAATTATATTAAAATAATAATTTTTTAATTTTTTTAAAATTATTTTAATATAAACATATCAAAATAATCTAAAAAATATATTAATCTGAAATTAAAAAATAGAATACTATTATTTTTTAAAAATACTTTTAAAACACAAAAATAAACTATCTAAATAAATACAAAAACATATATCTCGAGATAATAGCAAATTCAAAACAGTAGCAATAACAACCTATTTTGATTAGCTGATAGAAATTATTATCCCCAACACGGTTTTGACCACACAGGTCACTAAGTGATATCCGACCAAACAGCTCTAAATGCATCATTAATTAATCAAGTTGTAAATTGTTTACCATTGCTATGATGCTGTGCTTCCAGGTGCCTCCTCTTGATAATGGTGTTTAACTTATTTTTTATTAAAATTTAATTTTTTATTTTATAATGTTTTCTTTTTTATTTTAAATTAATTATTTTAATGTTTTTTAATATTTTAGGATGCAGATGTTAAAAATAATTTTTTTAAAAATATTATTTTTAAATAATTTTTTTTTGAAAATCACACTCCATGAATATAGAGATTAACTTTCAATCTTGGGGCTAACTATTTAAGGAATATATTGAAACATATCTAAAGCAAATTCTTTTTCAGGGAGAATATTGCTATTCATCTCCTTTAAATTCCGGCAGTCCAGCTTCAATTCACGGCGTCAGCACCGCTGTGTAAACCGACAATTAATTCTTAGCAATGGAATATTTGTCGACAATCAAAATAAATACTTTGCAACGGTTATGCTCAAGGAATTCAATCCCCAAATCCCTAATATTAAGTGTTTCGGCTACAATAATTTGGTGGAAATTACACTTATTTTCTAAGTTTTAAAATATCCCAGTTTTCATTTTAAATCAACAATAATTTTTAAATTGGATGAAAATACCAAAATACCTACAAATATAATATATAGAAAAATCAAACAAAAAACATATCATAAATTTTCTCTTCTCCAGAAACAATTTCTGTCTTCATATATTATTATTATTATTATTTTTATAATAACCCGACCCAAATGGAATTAAAATTTAGTGTTTTTAATTGTTTTAAAAAGTTATTAGTTATGGTTTTTTTAAAGCTCTAAAAAAAACTTCATATTGAAGATTACGAAGAGCCCTGGCTTTTTGATCCTTGTCAATTTACTGGTGAAAGGAAATTGATTCCAAGCAAACACATAAATACTCATTTTTCAAGAAAACTCAAACATTTTCTAGAAAAATCTCTCAATCATCAAATTGATTCTCCGAATTGGATGTAGACTTGTTTAATTTTGAGGGACATTGTGGCCGTGTGAGATTGGCGTTTCAATGAATAATAATCGTAATAATCCTGGAAGACGTATTGGGGTTTCACCCTTGTTTGATACATGCACATGAACCACCAAGCACTGCAGCTGCTCTCGCACTCACAACCTCAAACGCAAGGTGGGCATTCAGGTCACCTTCAGCCGTCCAGGCCGCGAGCTCAGGCCCGGGACATGCTCAATTTGCACTGGCAATATTCTAAAGGACCCGCCCCTCGATTATGAGGCATTCCAAGATAATTCTTATGCTTTAGTGACCAAGAAA